TCTGTCAGTAAGTCAGTAGGCCAGTTAATCAGTCAGTGAGTCAGTTTGTCAGTCAGTTAGTCAGTCAGTTTGTCAGTCAGTCAGTTTGTTTGTCAGTCAGTCAGTAGGTCAGTCAGTCAGTAAGTCAATCAGTCAGTCAATCAATCAGTTAGTCTGTCAGTAAGTCAGTAGGCCAGTTAATCAGTCAGTGAGTCAGTTTGTCAGTCAGTTAGTCAGTCAGTTTGTCAGTCAGTCAGTTTGTTTGTCAGTCAGTCAGTAGGTCAGTCAGTCAGTAAGTCAATCAGTCAGTCAATCAATCAGTTTATCTGTCAGTAAGTCAGTAGGCCAGTTAATCAGTCAGTGAGTCAGTTTGTCAGTCAGTTAGTCAGTCAGTTTGTCAGTCAGTCAGTCAGTCAGTAGGTCAGTCAGTCAGTAAGTCAATCAGTCAGTCAATCAATCAGTTTATCTGTCAGTAAGTCAGTAGGTCAGTGAGTCAGTCAGTGAGCCAGTCAGTCAGTTGGTACATTAGTTTGTCTGTTAGTCTGTCAGTCAGTCAGCCAGTCAGTCGGTCAGTCAATAAGTCAGTCAACAAGTTATTCAGGCAGTGAGTCAGTCACTAAGTTAGTCAGTCCGCCAGGCAATCAATCAGTCAGTCAGAACGTCCATCAGTGAGCCAGTTACTCACTCATTAAGTTTGTCACTCACTCAGTCAGTCAATAGTGGTTTTTTTTTTAATATTCCGTCAAGAAATAAATAAACCTCCCCTGCTGTTTAATTTTCAGAGTTTGCCACCGATTTCCTTTCACCTCTTATACTTAAAGAAGAAAACAGCGGGATGCTCTGATCTGGCTGCGCAACTGAACACCAGAACTCTGCAGTGTTAATTTTTTCTTCTGTTAAAGTTTGCAGTGCTAAAAATTCGCTTAAAGAATTGGACTGTTGTAAGCTATTTTTGAAAAAGTTAAACAATGAGTAAATTAGTGCGAGTGGCCAACCAAGAATGATATGTATGGAATTTCTGAATTACCTGCATTTAAGCTTAAAGTAAACGGTTACGTTGTTGTTGCTGTTCTTAATAGTTGCTTTATTCGAGTTTCAGATGTAACATGTTACCATGAATTAACTAGGTAGAGGATTTTATCAATAAATTAAGAGATTTGAATTGTGGGAGCGTTTGGCTATTTACCCGTGTTTCTGAAGATCAGTGTGAGTTGCTTTCTCTAGGGACTTGTTATAGTTTGATTTCACATCGTCATTTTTAAATTTTTTCATTTGGCTTAATAACAATACAAAAAAGCTTATTGACAGGGAGGGCGAGGAGACCTAAGCAGCCATCGGGCTTATGGCCACCTCACTGACGACAATGCAATTAAAAAATAATAAGTGCTGCGTAAGTGCAGCTTGGCCAGTTCAGTGATTTTTAAAGTAAAAAAAGTATCTGTACCAGAAGATAATGTAGTATGTCCACAAGTGGACATAAAAAATTCTGTTCCTCTAGAGAGAATTTTTAAAACACATTTTTACGAGCATCAAATGTAAAGATCACCCATACGAATTATAACAAGTTCCCATGACAAAAAAAAATTTCCTTCTTAAAGTAATTGAATTCAACTTTAGCAGTCCTCAGAAATATTCTTTTTAAAACCTCCTAAAAAAAGGTGAGACCGACATGTTGTCAAACTCGGGTATCCTGATGACGTAGTCTTATACCCAGACCTTCTACGGCCAAGCAGTGGTCAGATACGGTAGGATCTGCGTACGAGATTGATGGCAAAGTTGTTACCTCCACGCGTAGAGATACAATGATCACCTTCAATGCGCTCCGAAAAGATTCATTTCGAAACAGAAGAAATTATAGTAGCTCATCAACATCTGCATATTATATTGTATTGAGAGAACACCCTATCATTGATACTTTTGTTTATTCTCAATACTTTTATGCTGGGTAACTTTGATAACGAGGGGAGAATTTGACTTTGTGGTGACCCCCAACATTCCTTGCGTGACAGTTCCAGAACATTATTGCGTGATCATTTGACATTTTGGTCTTAGAGGGGGACTTAGCAATTCCCCCAGGTTAAACACGTGCTCTTTCAAGCGAGCTGTTGTTGTTTAGAGTGTTCTGTTGTTACGAGAATAAAGAAGATTGGTTCTTATTAGTGTTCGTATATTCTGAACTCTAAAACTTACTGTGGCATCTTTTATTTAAGGGTGAAGAACTGCTCTACGTATAAACTACAATTTTCCAACCCTTGATATCATTTTGAAAGGGTAGATGAGGGATTTTAATTTTTTTGGGGGGAGGAAGGGGGGGGGGTGGGGATTCAAATTTTGATTCAGAAAACACAGAAATTCTGTTTTTTCATGCTACTGCCTGAATGAAATGAGAACTATCCTAAGACAAGTCAATTTTTAGATACTAAATATTGAGTAGTAACAAGGACCTTTGTCATTGCAAGAATTTTGGTGTTAAACAGAGTAGCATAATACCCCACGGGTCTGAAGAGGAGAGAGTATAGACCCCTCGGAACTCCCCCCTGGATCTGCCACTAATACCCCACGGGTTTGAAGAGGAGAGAGTATAGACCCCTCGGAACTCCCCCCTGGATCTGTCACTAATGCTTGTCTGGGCAAGAAATATAGACCGTGCATGTCTCCTAAATGAGTCAATATCATTTCAATATCTTCATCAAGTAAAGAACCGATTATAATGTCCCCAACAAAGTGTAAAGGGGGACTATTGAAAATTTACTGCCAGTAAACTACCAATGAGGGGGCTGGACATCAAAACAATATTACAGAGTCTGAGGGGATCAGGTAAAGTGTTATCATGACGCAACTCAAATTCTCCAACAGCCCCCGGCGATAGGTATGGCCGTTTCCTAAATTAGCTTTCTTTTGGGTGTTTTTAAGCTACATTTATTTCAATAATTTTCTTAATGGGTAGATTCAAGTGAAAGAGAGCTTTTGCTGTCATTCTATTTGTGTAATATAAACAACAATTTTGTCAAATGCAGACCCCTGTTTCTTGTAGCAAAATGATTTTTATTCTTAGCAAGCGACGAAGAAACTCGGTTGGAAATTAAAAAACTTGATTTTCAAATCATAATGAGCTTAGGTAAACTTAAATAACGAGGAAGTTCTAGGAATGAACGAGATTTCTATAGCAATGTTTGATCAATAAAATTCAACCAAAAATAAATGAGTCGAACTGCGCTGGAAAAATGTTTCGCTTTAACAATCACTATTTGAAAGGAAAGTGACAAGAATGATCTGAAGAACTTTTGAAAAAAAAAAGAAAACAAAAAAACAAGAAAAATATAAAATAAAAAAAAATAGTTAGCCAATTAAGAATATCAGTCCATAGTTGTCCGTGGAGTTGCTAATCTGTGATTTAATTCAAAAATTGACTGTAGTCATTTGAGAGTTGCGTTTGAATTTTTACATGGAAAAGATTACACCAAAATAGGCAGTTATTTGTGCTTGCGGCAAGTACTTAGGCACATCCTTTTAACCGATCAAGGTCAATATTTTATTGCGTTGAATTGGATCAAGAAGGTGTCCTTATGAAATGCAGATATTTAATAACTTTGGCTAATAAAAGAACTTATGTAAATTTTGACTACTTTTATTCTCAATAGCGTCTCTCGTGATTTATTTGGCAAATTATTTAACTGATGCGAAATGAAGCTAATAGCCTTCGTTTTATCTGTATTCATTTGATATTTTCACTTCATTCGAACGCCATACTTTTCAAGAGCGCTTTGTAGAGCTACTTAAGATATGGGCAGTGATTTTCACGGTTAAAACCGTTGACTGGGGGAAAAAATTGCTGGTTAAATGCGATATCTTTCATTTGCGGCCGTTTTTAGCCAAGAGAGTTGTGGTTTATCGCTTTGAAATTCCTCAAAAGGTAAGATTGCTTTGTAGATTGTTACTTGCAGCTATAGAAATAGAGAAATAGACTTGGGAAGTGATAGTAAAGATAAAATTTAGCGGTTTCCACTTCATGGTTGAATAAGGAACCATTCCTTAACCTTAAAACTTGCGAATGATGCAGTTACGTCGCGTAAAATCTAAAGTATTATAAAATCAATTAGTCGGCAAAATTATAACGCCATCGTAATGAAGAGAAAAGTGAGAAAAAAAAAACCTCGTGACTTTTAGTTTAGAATGATTCTGAGCGAAAACTTCATTATTATCGGACATTTTTTATATAATATAGGTTTTTAAGCTTTGCTTTTGGTTTTCGAAAAAAATGTATGAATTAGGGAATGGGTTTTGTATCGCTTTTCGGGAGACCACAGAAATCACATGCTGCGATTGAAATCGACTGGAATACTTCGAATTTATTTGTACAAACATGCGCCGCTAAATAAAACGTAAGGTTGAAAATAGTTCGACAACACCTGCTAAAAATCCGACCAAAGCAAAATAGCTCTGATAAAGTTCTAATTTTCCAGACAATACAGAGACTCAATATTTAGAAATGTTTTCTTTTGCCCTCCTAAGTGAATCATTATCACAAAGAACTAACAAGGTAAAGTAATTGATCAGCCAATCGCAGCATCACAACGCAACGCACTGACGTTTGAACACCATTAAAGCGCGATAAGCTTTCTTTGATTTCTACAATTAAATTGGATAACTGATTTACCATGTATGGAATTATCTTCGACGGAATCTTTACGTGTCTAGCTTAAGGCGCTGATGGTTTTTTCAGGACAAATTTTAAAATTATATAATTCTACCACAAAACTGATGGATAAATAGATGTTGTAGTTTTGCCTCCCCCAGTTATGTTCGGCTTTTGAAACAGCGCGGGAAATCCCGCGGGAGGGATAATGAAAAGTATGCACAATTGCGTGCCCAGGGTCCTCCCTCGTCCTCCTTCGGGAGGACCCTGGGAATGAGGTTGATGTAAGCTAACATTTTGACGTGCAGAGACGTTGACGAGTTAATTAAACTTCGTGTTGCTGAAAATTTTCTGTAGATAATATTTCAAGCTATTTGGATTTGGTTTGGTTTGTATTGTCTGTGTATCCATATCATCATTTTTCATGATGTTTGAAGATAAGGGTCTGGGCCGAGAAGGCGCAAAGACGTGACACACCCTATGTCGTCCTAATCTTCTCTCGTCCCTTAATCATTTCATGCCCCGAGCTCTGATTCCTTATTGGAAGAAAGTAGACATTTAGCGCTCAACATTTAGAAATACCTTCACTTTAGAAAAAACATTCACGAGGTGTTTTGTTGGCTTGACAAAGAACCAAAACGGAAACATCTTATGAAAGGCCTTGGAAGGGATCAGGGATGGAGAAACTTTTACTCGGATTGGAAATAATCAATTAGAAAAAGTTAGTTTAGAGTTGTCTACGTGAATGAGCTCTAGCTAGTGATTGGCTCGGTAAAGCCTCTTGAAATCAACAGGCCATTGACGGGAATTACAAAGTTCAGCGGGAAACCGCTGAGCAATGATTAGTCTTTCTGCTTTCATAGACATGATGCAAAGAAAGGCGACGTGAATTTTTATATCACCGCTGAGATTGAAAATCTGCCAGTGAGTTAGAAATCTACTGTTGGAGACGGTGAAAAATGGGGGAAAAGCTGCAAATTATATAATTGAGTATGACAGTTATTTCAGATTCTCATTCAAAGCGTTTTATCCCAAGTACTGTGTGTTTTGGTCTAGCTTTTGAAACTTTGAACCTTTAGAAGTAAAAAATTGTCCATGTATTTTTCTTACTTTGTTGAAAAATGTTCAACGTATTTTTTTCTTGTTTTTTTTATCTTCATATTTTAGTTCTGGGATATTTTTTTCTCTCCAGTATGGATACATTCTTACAGAGGTGGCTCATACCCCTCCTATTAATGAAATATTATGGAAATTGGTGAGTCCTTGATTTCCTAGATATAGTTGCACACTTGCCATTATTATGGGGAGTTCTCGAGAGTGTTTTCTCATCTACTCATTCTCTCTCACGATTCACTCTGACTTAACAACAGCAGCCAACGAGAGGGGTCTCACTATTAGGGAGTTTAAAATGTTATTTCGGCAATGTGTGGTAAAAAGTTGCAGAAGAAAACTGTAACTTTATTTCACTCTAAGATTTTCGCCAAAAGCTCGACTGATGCGTTACCTGTTTCTGACTGTACGACATCTTCACTTCGGCATAACTCGAGAATGTTGCGTCTTGTTTGCTGTAGATGTTTTCTTATTAAGAGGAGTCGAAAGAATCAGATCAGCTCAATTCTCCTCTCATTCTGCTCAGCGCTCTAACTCTTTTGAGCGAGTGAAAATAGATTGTAAGAGGTGCAAGCAGGAAGATCCAACCAATGATAATGCGAGTTTTTAGGCCATCCGTTGGCTTACGAATCCAATGATACAAATGACAGGGGACGGGGTCCCAACTGAGCTGCATCTGAGCCCTGCTTTTGGATTCCGTCGGTTTGATTTTCGCCGGATCGTATCCGACTCCGACATCTGTGAATATGAAGCTAAAATTTTTAGCCACAACTTTGAACAACTGAAGTTTATATGTTTGTTTCTGTTAAAGGAATCTTAACTAATTTGTTGTTTATTTTGATTATAGCAGTGAGAAATCTCACTTTGACAGAACAGAAATAGCCAACGCCACGTTCATATTGGATAATATCCTAGAAGAAACTGATTACGACAAAAACGCCAGACCCCGGGCAGGACGTAAGTCTCTCCGATTATCTGTGAAAATTGTTGCTTTAACTAACATGTGTAACCGTCCTTTTAGTTTCCTTTTGTGTATGAAGTAAGAGCGTGAACCGCGGGAAGACATAGGGCTAGAGGAAGTAAAGAAAAAGACGAGCCTGTCGCTCGTTTTCGCCTTAGCGCCGCTCCCGCTAGTTTAGAAGG